CTCTTACAAAAAAGAGGTCAATTTCCACATGCTTTCTTCTTGCTTGAAGAACAGGGTTATGAGCCATAGCAACTGTGCTCTGGTTGTCACAATAAATGGCTGGAGTTGTCAAGGGAATTTTTAGTTCAACTAGCAAAGTTTGAACCCATAAAACTTCAGCTGTGGTGTGAGTCAAGCTGCGATACTCTGCCTCAGCACTAGAACGAGCAACAACAGTTTGCTTTTTGGACTACCAAGAGATCAAATTAGGGCCTAAGTACACAGCTGACCCAGAGGTGGATCTTCTATCATCTGGGTCAGCATCACAGTAGGCCTGCAGAGAGAACGGAATAGTGGAGGCAGGAGTGAACAATAAACCAGAGGTGATAGTGCCTTTTAGGTAGCGCAGAATACGCTTGACAGCTAGCCAATGGGACTCCAAGGGGTGTGCAATGAACTGACATACTTTGTTAACAGCATAGCAGATTTCTGGGCGTGTAATTGTTGCATACTGCAGGGCCCCTACAATGGACCTGTAGTGAGAAGCATCAGATAAGGCAGCAGACCCTGTTTTGATGAGTTTGGTGGTGGATGCCATAGGAGTAGCAACTAGATTGGAGTTCTCCACATCAATTTTGATTAGCCAGTCCCGTAGGTACTTAGATTGAGTGAGGAGATTACCATTGGACAGTTTCTTCACCTCGAGGCCCAGAAAATAATCCAAGTCACCAAGTTATTTGAGAGAAAACACATGATTTAGTTGTTGAGTAACTTGCTTGATGAGAGGAGGAGAGTTGTCTGTGATGATCATATCATCAACATAAACTAGCATATAAATGATAGCACTGTGATGCTTGTAGATGAACAATGAAGTATCACATTTGCTGTTCAGAAAGCCAAAGGATAAAAGAGTGGTTTTGAGTCTTTCAAACCATTGCCTTGAGGCCTGTTTGAGGCCATACAAGGCCTTGTGCAAGTGACATACCAGAGATGAATTAGGGGCAGTAAATTCAAGGGGTTGCATCATATAGACCTCCTCTTCAAGAATGCCATTCAAAAAGGCATTGTTTATATCCAACTGCTGCAGAGGCCAATTGTAAGTGAGAGCAAGAGTCAAAATAATTCTAATTGTGATCGGTTTAATAGCAGGGGAGAAAGTTTCATTGAAGTCAAATCCATGGACTTGATGCAACCCATTAGGAACAAGCCTAGCTTTGTACTTATTTAGTGTCCCATCAGCATTTTCCTTTACACGAAAAACCCACTTGCAGCCTATTGCTTTCCTGTTAGCAGACAGTGGTACCAAAGACCAAGTGTTGTTCCTTATCATGGCACCATACTCCTCTTGCATAGAAGCAAACCACTTAGGATCTTGGAGAGCAGTTTTAACACTTAGGCTCAGAATTGACAAGAAAAATGGAAGGATTTAGACGAGGTAAGGGTACACCAGATTTAGTTCTAGTAGTCATAGGAAGAATATTGGTGAGGAGAGGTTGAAGGTTAGGATCCCTAGGAGCAGAAATAGAGGAGGATGGTGAAGTGGTAGTAGTAGGCTGTTTGTTGGCATTTGAAGAGGGTGAAGGAGTAGGATTAGTGCTGGTTGTTTGTGTTACAGGGGTGGTTGACACAAAGGCAGTAGGTGTGTGGCTGGAATTGGATTGAGAAGAAGAGGAGTGTGAGGTAGTGGAAGCAGTAGGAACGGGAAAAACATTAGGAAGAGCTTCTGTGTTAAAAGTTACTTTAGATGAGGAGGAGGATGGAATGGTTGATGAGGGAGAGAAACATTAGAGAAAAAAAGATCATTGTAAGGAAATTTGGACTCATTGAAAAGGACATCTTTAGAGATGAATATTCTACCACTTGGGGAAAGACATTTGTAACCTTTGTGAGCTGTAGAGTACCCTAGAAAAAGGCACTCATGGGATCTAAAGTCAAATTTCTGAGAGTTGTATGGGCGAAGGAGAGGAAAACAAGCACACCCAAAGACTTTGAGGAATTTATAGTCAGGATTTTGATTGAAAAGGACAGCATATGGTATATGTTGATTGAGAGACATGGTTGGTAACCTATTTATTAGGTAGACAGCAGTTAAAAAGGCATGATCCCAAAATTTGAGAGGTAAAAAGGCATGACTCAAGAGGGTTAAACCAAGATCAACAATGTGTCTATGCTTCCTCTCCACTACACCATTTTGGTTATGAGTGTGAGGGCAAATTAAACGATGAATAATGCCAAGATCAGAAAGAAACTTTGTAAATGGGTGAAATTCACCACCCCAATCAGTTTGGACAGATTTAATAGAAAATCCAAATTGTAATTCAGCTATGACTTTGAATTGTTTAAAGATAGTTAAGGCTTCAGATTTATTGTTGAGCAAATAGATCCAAGTAAATCTAGTGTATGCATCAACAAAGGTGATGTAGTAGGTAATGTTTTGGGAGGATTTGACTGGGGCAGGACCCCATAGGTCACTGAAAAATAATTCAAGAGGAGAGTGATATTGAGTTTGTGACTGAGGGGAGTGCAGCCTATGTGCCTTTCCCATACAGCAGGCAGAACAAAAGACAGATTCAAATTAGAATAGGGAATATTACATTGAGCTAAAACAAGTCTCATAGTATTTAGAATTTGGATGACCAAGGCGTAGATGCCAAATATGTTGAGAATTATATGAGTTATTAGCTGATACATTTTGATTAGAAACTGAAACCCTATCACTAGTGCTGGAATCAGATTTTGAAACAGGAGAATTAGAGTCTAAGGTGAGACATGAGACTTGTCTTGTTAAAGGAGACTTAAGAAGCTGAAGATGGGGAATTGGTACAGGCCATCACTTCCTACACATCCTTGGAGCAGAATTTCATTGGTAGCCTGAGATTTGACATAGCACATATCAGCATGAAACTCAAAGAAAACTCTATTATCAAGACAGAATTTGCTGACACTTATCAGATTCTTTGTAATAGAAGGAACAAGTAGTAAATTATGAAGAGCTAATGGAGTGTTGGGTTTAGAATGAGAGGGAAAATAAGAAGAGCCTGAAGAGTGAATGTGCAAACCTTGACCATTACCAATGAAGATCTGATCAGGACCTTCAAAAGGTGTGGTCTGCTGTATGTTTTGAGAGGCATTGGTAACATGATAAAAAACTTCTGAGTCTGGGAACCAGGCAATGCTTGGAACTGAAGTTGTGTTAGCAATCATAGCATTGGGAGTGATCTGTGACTGAGGAACAGAGAGAGGAGCAAGTCTTGGTTGATAACTTGGGCGTGACCAAGTGTTAACCATGGGCTGAGCAAACTGAGGTCCACCAATTGGTTGATATGGATTGTAGAATTTTTGTAGGTTCATTGTTTGAAAATCAGCAGGTATGTTAGGTTGAAACTGTTGATCGTGTAGAAATTTTCTAGGTTCATTGTTTGAAAATCAGCAGGTATGTTAGGTTGAAACTGTTGATTGAACTTGTGATAGCAGTTAGCAGCAAGGTGACCATATTTGAAGCAAACTTGACATTGAATGTTGTTGAACCTACCTCTCCCACGGCCGCGTCTACCACCACGGCCAGATGCACGACCTCCTCTTGAATAGGTTGGATTAAAGGTTGAATTCACAGCTTGTTAGTGTTCTTGTTATTGGAGTTATCAGTTTCAGGTTGAGAATTGGCTTGAGTGAGATTCACTGAGGCAACCACCTCCATTTGAGAGTGTTTCTTATACTTGTTGAATGTCATCTCATGAGCAAGAAGTAGAGCTTCAACTTCTTCAAGTTCTACTGAATCAAACTTGCTTTCAGTGACTGAAATAACAGATGCAAAGTCTTGAGGAAGACCTTCAAGAATCACATCAATGTGTTGTTGATTTGGAACTGGATCTCCTACTGAAGCAAGCGCATCAATAAGAACTTTGATGCGAACCAGGTAATCACCAACAGATTTGTCTTCAAGTGTTGTAGATCTGAGTTCCTTTCGTAGTTGTCTTGCTTTCGCACGTGTAAGCTTTTGAAAATGCGCATGAATACGTTCCCAGAGCTCATAGGAATGAACGCATCCAAGAACGCGTGAAAGAATCGAAGGTGAAAGCGTGGATTGAAGCCATGCCATAAGCCATTGATCTTGCGTAATTCAGGTACGATACGCAGGGTTCTCACGAGCAGCTGCACGATCTTCATCAGTTAGGTATTAATTTGGTGTGTAACGAAGGTAAAGGTAGTTTTGAAGATTATTCGCGTTAACAAAGGATCTACTTGTTGGCGCCAAAGTAGGAAATTCTTCTCATCAAGTTTTTTTGTGATTTTGAGTTGGAATGACATAGGTGCTGCGGTGGCCGGAGCCGTTGCCATGGATAGAACCGAAGCTCTATAATACTATATTATAGTGAGATATGAGAAAGAAGAGAGAGAAAGCTAAAAGAGAAAAGAGAGAAACTGATTCTGTTATTATATTGAATTGAAATGGAGCATGATGCTCTATTTATACAAGAAGAGTTGAACATTCAAGAGTTGAATCATTCAAACTCTACATTTAAGGATGACCTTAATTATCCTATAGTGCTGAATTTTTCTTATTCTATTAAATTAAGACTGACCTTAATTATTCTATAGTGCTGATTTTTCATATCCTAAGATATAACTCTAATATCTTACATTCTTAAGAGAAAAAAAGAAGTAGGGGGAGAAAAAGCCTGCAATTTCATATTTTGGTACAATCAGCTAAAACTAAACCAGCCTCCCCGTAGTACAACTTCCCACCATTTTCTTCAGGCAGACTGTGTTCCTGTTGTGGAAATGGTTTGGTTTGTATGCTCTCTAAAGATAAGACTGTTGGATGTGCTTATGCATTCCAGTTTCAATGTGATAACTTGCTTTGCTGTGGAGTGACCAAGTTGATTCTTATGTTATGTTACAATCTTTAATACTGACATTTAAAAAAAAAAACTTTAACTTGAATTTGTGCTCTGGTTCTGGTATTAATGCCTTATTTAATTGTGCTTTATCTTTAATTTATCTAGGATCACTTAGCATTAATGATGGAACTTCTTGGAATGATGCCACGTAAGGTAATAAAATTTTTCCACTCATTTATTTGTAGTTATGATCAATAATTCACAGTTAACTTGAGTCTGTTTTCAGATTGCTCTAGGGGGGCGTTATTCCCGAGATTTCTTCAATAGACACGGTGATTTGAGACATATCCGTCGGTTGCGATTCTGGCCTTTAGCTAAAGTGCTCACGGAGAAGTATGATTTTAGTGAGAAAGATGCAAGTGACATGAGTGACTTTTTAGTTTCAATCCTTGACTTTGTTCCTGAGAAACGACCTACAGCTGGTCAATGCCTGCTACATCCATGGATGAATGCAGGTCCGCGAATTTTGGAACCATCGGTGCCTTCTTCTAATCACCACCCTGTTGCTGAAACTGCTACTTCTGACCAGAAGAATAAGGACAAAGATGAAAGGGAGGCCATGGAGGCTGGAATGGGAAATATTGCTATCAATTCAGATTTTAAACCATCCATGCATTCACCCTCAAATAAAAAGCCTCTCAAGGCAGCCGCAAGTAGTTCATCTTGAAAGAGCTATTTCCAGTGTAATTGTATTTATTGTCTGCGCATGCCCAATGGTGTCTGTGTGAATTGTTTTGGGGGCATGTTTTCTGAACTGCTGGATTTGGACGGAGTTGCACTTGTTTGAAGCTACTGCCAGGCTAGGGGCTAGCTAGTTCCTTCAAGTCTGCTATACAACACCGCAAGGATACTCCGTGAGCTATATATCACGTACCTTGTTTCTCATGTCAAAGATGATGATAGCCGTTGTTCCATGTTTCCGTTGACTTGTTTGTTAACAGTTGCTCATTGTCATGACTCATGATGTATGTACTCTTGTGCGGAATGATATTCTTGATATATGAAAACATTGCTGACATGCGCCGACAGAGGCATTCCTCATTTCATCAACTCATTTTTCAATATTAGTCTTGTAGAAACAAGTTGAAAACACAAACGAGAGATGCCATTCTTTATAACTTTTTCAAGTCTTATATCTCTTTTAATGTCGTTCTTGGATTTTATAAAAGCCAAGGTTTTCTTTTTATAATTTATTGCAAAATTCCCCCGTATGAGTAATAAAAAGTTGAGGGGAAGGGTCAGTCCTAGAATCCAATAATGGACTCTCGGCACAAATGAAATTGTGGAATGCTCTTTTCACTTTTGGAAATTTGAATTTTGTTTTTATTTGTATGAAGATGTATCTTTGAACTCATCTAAAATCACATTAGACTTTGCTTTTCTCAGATTCATTCTATTTTAAACAAAATATTAATTTAGAGATGCATCTCCATAATATTTAGAGAATTTTTGAATATGTATATCCGAAATATCTTATGTATTCATTTATAATGTTTTTATTCTTTGAGATGTATTAATTTACCATTAAGTGATGTTTTCGGAGATGTATCTCCAAAAACGTTAACGAGAAATTTGATAAAACAACACTTTACATAAGCAAAATAGACTCGATTTCAAAATCACTAAACATTTCTCTCATTCTCAATCAGTTTTTCAACACTAAAATATTATTGTATTTTATCATATCAAATAGAGTAAAACAAGTTGTAATTACATGTAAAGTTCATTTATTTCATCTCTCATTCCTTGCATTAATGTGTTCTTTGGCTGAAAAAATGAACGTTGAATCTGAATATGCAACTCTAAACGATGTTTGGTGTTTTCTAGATATGCTTCTTCAAATTATTCTAATAGTTTGAGTTTTAAAATTATTTTTCTATTATTTGTGATACTAAATATGGTGCACTCGGATGTTTTTCAAATTTATTGTGAGTGTAGATGTTAAATCGATTTAAGTGAAACATGGTGTTAAATTGGATGTAGTGAATGATGATGTTAAACTGGGTGTTTGATTGGTTGTCAGAGTAGATGTTCGTGTACAATTTACAAATAAACAAGAGTTTATTGCTCGTTAACATATGCTACAATGAATTCGCACAGAGACATGAAAATTGAGGTTTGATGTTGTAATTGAAAGGTCTGATAATAGTTTAGATAGAAGACAAGCATTTGTGACAATGAGATGTGAAATAAGTGACACATATCAACTATAAATTAAAAAGTTGAAACAAGATGACACTAGATCGAGAAAATGTGAGTGCCCGTTTAAATTGCACGGTTATCGTATGATGGATGACATATGAAAATTTAATGTGATTTCCGATATACATACTCATGTCTTGACTGATAAATTAGTCGTTTATTCCATTGTATGTCGCCTTGTTTCAGACGAGATGAAACTTGTTTCAGAGTCGGACATGACATTAAATATGGTGGCGCCGAAAAAATACTCGCATCTTTGAAACTAAAAAACCCTCTAAATGTTTCAAATATTAAACAAATATATAATATGCGTGCTCGAGACAACAAGGCTGTAAGATGACCAAGATCTGAGATTCAACAACTGTTAAAGCTTATGAAGGATAACAATTATGTTTCTAAGTACAACGTTTGTGATGATAAAAATAATTTGAGACATTTTAGAGCCATCCCGATACTATCAATTTGTTTAGCGCATTTTCCACCACGCTCATAATTGATTCAACATACAAAATGAACAAGTATAAACTTTCATTCTTAGAAATTGTTGGTGTTATTTCTACGAAGACAAATTTTTCAGTTGGTTTTGCATTTTTAGAATCTGAAAAAGAGGACAATGTTACATGAGATTTGGAAACGTGCAAGATCATGTTGGAGGATCAAGAAAATATGTCCCAAGTAATAATCACTGGTCATGACACCATATTGATGAATTCGGTTGCAATGGTATTTTCTATATTGTCTGTACTACTTTGTAAGTATCACATAACCAAAAATATGAGAAGTCAAATAAAACATGCGGTTGGCACAAAACAAGTCAAAGGCGAAGATGGAAAATTTGTCAAATCTAGTCTAGGAGTGGAAAATATAATGGATGTGAGTGCACTTTCCTGTTAGATGTTTTCATGATGTCAAAATTAGGATAACCTTAGTATTTCTGTATATTGAATTTTATCTCAGAGTTATTATGTGTACTTTAACATTAAGGTACTTATAGTGCATTTAGTTCATGTTTAGAAAAGATATCATGCATTAAAAATCAATTTCTGAATGGAAAAAAAGTTTATGTGCCAACACATATGAGGTATGAGTAGACACATGTGTGTCAATATTAAAATTTGTAGCCTCTGTAACTATGTGTCGAGACACACAACCTTTCAGATCGAGACATACTGAAAAATCTCATATATGTGTCGACACATACGATAGACAGGTAGACACATGTAACTCATTTTTAAAGCCTTTAGTTTTTATTTTTATGTGTCGAAACATGACCATGAATAGGTCGACACATGTTATAAAATATATCAACGCATGACTTATATATGTCGACACATGTTATATCTTTTCTGAAAATTACATTCTTTTTCAAACCTCTTTTACCTTCAACTTGCACACATATAAACACTTCATACATGCATCATTTCTAACTTGATGAAAATATACACACATATAAATATTACTCATCATCTTCAATCTTTTATCTATGTATACACATAAATAAACTACACTTAATAATTTTTTATTTGGGTGCCATCTAGACTGGTGTTGAGCACGTCCAATTTAGGTTGGTGTAGCTGGTGTATTGGGTTGAGAATATTTAGGGGTTTCATCCAGAAAAACCTTAGCATTTGTCCTCTAAGATCATAGTTGATTTGAGGTTCTACACAAGATTTTGCAAATATTAGATTCGATCGAGTGAAAGTTTCGAAGAACAATGGTTTTTTTTAAAGGAGTAGCATGAGACGTTGAATCGTTTGGAAATTTTGGGACACGATAATTTGCAATGGAATTCGATCGAGTGAAAGCTTTAAAGAATCAAGGTTCTTGTAAAGGAGTAGCGTGAGATGGTGAATTAATTGGTGTTATCAGGATACTTGGTCGAGCTCAAGATAGGGAAGAGAAATAGTTATAATCAACATCAAACATTGGGTTTATAGGGTTACATTGTTATATTTCTCTTGTAATCAACTTTTTGTAAAGTAAGATTGATATCTCAATTCTATATTTAGAATTAGGGGCAAACGTAGCCATAGCGAGGACGATTGACGAATTACCTAAACAAATCCTTGCGTCCTCTCTCTCTCTCTCTCTTATTTATTTTTTTATAGAAAATTATTAAATTCATTGATTGTGTAATTAATACGTATAGAAAATTCCTTTGATTGATTAACTAGAATTTTTTTTGTTAATTACATTACAATTGATTAAATTGTAAGTGATATTTCATATCAACTAAGTCAAAAATAAAATTTAAAAAATCGATTGCACACTAAGTGTTCGATAATTTACTAGGTTTCGTTTTTATTAATAATTTCATTGAAAATGGGTTAACATTGCGATCATAGTAAAATGATTAATTGAGAAATTATTGTATCAAGTCTTTATCATTGTCTTGTATTTCCTTTGGTATATTACACATATCTGAGTTTTCAATAATCGGTTCGGTTTAGACAATTTGTTTGATTTAGGATAAAACTTCCGCTTGCCATATATTTTCATTTGTTTTCAAAACATAATTTTAAAAAGGAATTTTTACTTTGGAGATCTATTAACCCCTTCTAGGTAAATTGTTGTAGTCTAACAAGTGGTATCACGAGCTCTGGTTCATTTCGTGTTTCAAAACACTTATTTGATAATGACTACCGAACCTAAAGGAGCGTATAATAAAGCGCCAATTTTCACAGGTGAAAACTATGTTTATTGGAAAGCTTGTATGCGTATTCATATCAATTAATATGATAAGGGAGTGTGGGGCACCATTATTAACGATCCAGCTTAAATTACCGTGACCAATGCTAATGGTGTTGTCACACCTAAAATGGATGCACAATAGAATAATGATGATAAGAAAAAATAGAGTTACGATTGGAAAGCACAAAATATTCTCATATCTTCTCTTGGTGTTGATGAATTTTATCGTGTTTCCCATTATGAAACTGCTAAAGCTATGTGGGACACATTGCAAGTTTCCCATGAGGGAACTAAATAAGTCAAACAAGATAGAATTAATATATTAAATTAAGAGTTTGAACTATTTTGTGTAAATCATGGTGAAACCATTACCGAAATACAAAAGAGGTTCTCTCATCTAATTAACCGTTTGAATGCACTTGGGAAACCAGTTTCCAATGAAATTGCTAGTAATAAAATTTTGAGGTGTCTTACTAGGAATTGGCAACCAAAGATCACTGCTATCAAGTAATTTAACGATCTTACAATACTAGTTCTCACTATATTATTTGGTAAGCTTGAAGAACATGAGCTAGAACTCACTTGCTTGGTGAAACATGAGAAAAAGAATGAGAAGAAGTTAAATAAGGAGAAAGGAAAGGATAAGGAGGTAGAAAATAAGTCTATTTCTCTAAAGGCTTCTAGTTCGAGGTTCTCAGCAAATGAGCAAATTGATAGTGATATTTGCGACGAAGAGAATTTGGATGATGAAGAAATAAAATTGTTTATGAAAAG